GAGGGGGTGGTTTGGCCTCTGCTTTGCTGATGGGTCGCTGGCTCCTTGGGGTGTTGACGGGGCTTCAAGAGCTGGAGGTGCAGCAAAGCAGCGACCCTTCTCCTACATGGGAGAGGTCCTTGCTTGGAGGGGAGAGCGGCTTCGAGCTGGTTTGTTCCGGGTGCTCCTTCATTTGTGTGGGTAAAAGGCACCCGGGGATGCTGCCCCAGTGGGATGCTGACTGACTCGGTGTGTCGGACAGAAGTTCACCTTCTCAGCAGGAGCTCCAGCTGGTAGGAGCTGGCTCAGTGACCCTCCTGAGGGATCCTGACGTAGAGGAACATCTAGGAAACCTTGAAGACCTCGTTGGGGATCTGGGTGGAGCCCACCCCCCTCCTCCCTTTGCCCATGGCGTCACGGGCGGGTGGGGGCCTCGTCTTACCGGGTGGGGTCCATTGAGTCCTGTCACACCCCACTCTTCCACAAGCCTTGCAACCCGACCAGACCCATCCTGGGTGCGGCGTCTGGCTCCTCAGGGACCCTTCCCTTGGGGGCCGCCCGTGCTCCGTGTAACCTGGTTTCTGCCAGTGTGGTAGAGAAGTGGGTCACCATGAGTGCGTTTACAATAGACTCTGTTTCTCTCTTTCTCTCTCTTGGGCCAAGAGCTTACACGATCCCTTTTGGCTGATGTTCCGAAGCACAGACCGTGTTAGAAAATCCTGTGTGTTGGGCGTTAAGTCCTCGCAGGCAATGCGCTGAGCCCTGGAATTTCCACCCAGAAAGGGCACCAAGGAGAAAGCGCGGTGGAAGGGAAGCTCAGTCTTCCCCCAGGTCCCTGGAGAGGTGGTGGGACCGGAAGCACTGTGATTTTGGACGGTGTTTCTTGACGGGAGGGGTGGGGGTCAGCAGAGTGCCCGTCTTACTGATTCCGAGCCTTGGGGGAGGTTGGAAACACTGGCCTTGGGCCCCAGGAGGGACTTTTCATTACAAAGACTCTTCCCTGGGTAGCTGGGAGGGTGGTGGTTCGAGGGGATGTGTGGGAGGGTGGTGCTAGGACAGTGTGAATGGCGGTGCCCACTGGGACAGGGAGATCCCACCTTCCCTGCAAGCGGGACGTGATCTCAGTTCATCACTGAATGCTCGCTTCTTTTTAGAAATCATTTTACTGGGGGCTTTTACAGCTCTTATCACATTCCATCCATCCATTGTGTCAAGCATACTTGTACATAGGTTGCCATCATTTCCAAAACATTTTCTTTCTACTTGAGCCCTTGGTATCAGCTCCTCATTTCCCTTCTTCCCCTCCCCCCCCCCTCGTGACTCCTGATAAACGATTATTATTTTCAGATCTTACACTGTCCGCTGTCTCCCTTCACCTATATCTCTATTGTTTGCCCACTTTGGGGGGAGGGGGGTGTTACACATTGATCATTGCAATCGGTTTCCCCTTCTACCCACACCTTCCCCCTACCCTCTTGGGATGGCTACTCTCGTTTCTGTTCCTGAGGGGTTTATCTGTTCTGGATTCATGTGTTGGGAGCGCTTACCTGAACCAGTGTATATGCTCTGGACTAGCTGGATTTGTAAGATAGAGCTGGGGCGAGGGGAGAGGGGCGGGGGGAGAAGCCTCAAGGAACCAGAGGGCATACTGTGTGTTTCACCGGTGCTGTACTGCGCCCTGGCTGACCCATCGTGGACCCTCTTGGCCCTTGGCTACTGCTTGTCCGGGACCCCACCTTCCTCTGACAAGTCTGGAGGCCCTGGGTGCATCCCAGGTGGTGCATTGCCCCGCTCCAAACCGAAAGGTCGATGGTTCAAATCCACCCAAGGGCTCTTCTGAAGCTAGACCTGGCCTTCTGCTTCTGGAAGGGCCGAGCCTCAAGCAACCGTGTGAGGGGCAGTTTCCCCCACGCCTGTCACGCTCGTGGCCCCAGGGGTCCGGAGGGCCTCTGCAGCAGCTGCCACAGGAAGGAGAATGGGAGCTAGCGTCGTCACCAGGCCCAGCCCAGAAGACCCGGTCCTCCCGCCACCCTGCCTCTCTGACCTCCCTCCCTGCCTGCCTGATAATCCCTCCGGTCCCTTTAATCCAGCGGATGTTTTTGGCCAGGAAACTTTTTTTTTCAATAGAAAAAAACTGTGACATTTCTTCCAAGTTTAAAAGAGTGTGAGGGAGTGTTGGACTTCCCCTTCCCAATGTGATGCCCCTGTTTCCTCCCTCCTCCACCTCGTCTTGTCCTCTCCCTCCTCCTCCTCCTCTCCACCCTCCTCCCTTCTCGCCCCCTGCTCGCCCTCCCATCCTTCAGTCTTCTCTTCCTCCACTGTGTCCTTCCTGTCCATCCTCCACCCCTGCTCTCTCCCCCCACCCCCTCCCCTCTCTCCCCACCACTCACATGACACTCACATGACGCCCCGCGTGGGAAGCCACAGGGAACAGGCAGAGAAGGCTCTCTGCTCTCTGGGGCAGAGAGGCTGTAAATAAGCAAACAGATGTTCACACTGCCCCAAGGAAGCAGGAGGGTGATGGTGGCAGTGTCGTGGCCCCTTTCATCGTGGATCCGAGAAGGGCACCTCTCTGAAAAAGGGGCATAGGGGGAGCCAAGCAGGCCGAGAGCAGGGACAGAGGGGTCTGAGGGGCAGGGGTAGCTGAGTGTCTTAGAGGAGGGTGGCCTGGTGGCTGGGGCTGGGTCCTGTCAAGGAGGTGCCAGGCCAGGTCCTGCCGTGTCTGTGGCCTGTGGTCAGGTCTGGTTCTCAGGGTGATGGACAGTCAACAGACAATATGTGTTAGGCAGGGTTCTGTAGAGAAACAAAACCAGGACACTTATGGTTTTCTATATACATATGTAA